CTCTCTCTCTCTCTCTCTCTCTCTCTCTCTCTCTCTCTCTCTCTCTCTCTCCCTTCTCCCCCTTCCTCCTTTGCTCTCTTCTTTCTCCTTCCATCTTCATCTTCGGTTACTCTCTCTTTCACCTCCGATCACGCTCTCGCTCTCCTCCGAATCTCTCCTCTCCTCACGCTCGCTCTTGCACGTCTCATGCGACTCCACGTGTACCGCTTCCTTTCCTCCTCTCTATCGTCTTTTCTCTTGCCTTCCTCTCCCCTCTCCTCCCTTCGTCTCTCGCAGCAGCACGTCTCGCACTCTGCTACACGAGTCTCGTATGTATGTACTGGGTGATCGAGGTTAAGACTCGACCTCGTATGTACCTAGATAGACACGGCTCTCGCGAGGATCTTTCGACGAAGATCACCGACGTCACGATGCCCCGGCTTCGGCGGCCTCGGCCGGTCTTTCTCTCTCTGGGGCGTTTTCGAGACGCGTCGATACCTCGAGATGAATCTCCTCGATGGGGAATCCCGGTCTGAGGTACAACGAGGTGAATGGATTTTCAACGTGGCCCTCGCCACGGTCGTAGGCACGAGCGCGCGCGAGTTAAGAGATGTAAATTTCCGTCTGTTGAACGATCCGCCGTCGCGGTTTTGCTTCCTCGAAAGGGACATCGTCACGACGAAGGGCCGAATCTTTATTCGTCTCCGTTTTATCTCCCCGACCCTACCCGAATGCATCGAGCAGTGGTCCCGTCTCGTCCCGTCCCGTGCTGTGCCTACCTTGCGTGGGAATTTCTGACATGAATTTAACGGCCAAGGTTCCTACCTGTCGGCAAACGAATTTCACGTGGTCGTATCTCGTGTCGAAAAATCGCGCAAATCGACTCCGCCTCTTTCTTTCTTTCTTTCTCCATCTCAGAGTAAGAGCCGCTTTTCTGTGGAATAGTTTATCAACTGTACAGTCTATTTTGAGCTTCAGTTCAGTTTTTTTTTTTAATTAAATTACACGATTACATTAGTATTGCCGTGAAATATATTAGAGAAATGCTGCACTGTATTCATTCATTGCATGATGTATATTTCTTTTTTTTCATAAGTGATATTTTTTGTATCTTGTATGCGCTTGAAGGACTGGGCTGGTATTCCGTTACCGTGGTTCCGACAGTTGTCGGATCGGTAGGCGTCGTTGCGCAGCTTTTCCACGGTGTAAAAAAGCTGCGCAACGATGCCTACCGATTCGACA